AACATATAAAACACCATTCTATGAAATGAACTCCAAAAAAAGGAAATGAGACACTCTTTGGTTACCACTGTTGCTGTTTCATCCTCTTCCTTTTGTATTGTTTGTATTTGGGAGGGTGTGGGAGGGCACATAAAAGGTGGAACAAGAATGAACAAATGTAAGAGTGATACCAGACACTATGTAGAAAATGAATTGGATATCTTATGGGTGGGGATGGAAGGGAAAGATTGGGAGAGAGCAAAGGAAGGGGAAAAATGGTTAAAAAAGAACTGTACTGATGTACCTCATTCATGTAACTGAAACCCCTCTGTATATCAACTACATAAAAACAATTAAAAAATAAAATAAAAATTATAAAATTTATCAATATTTAATACACCATTTTTGTTTGCAAAAGATCTTTGTTTCAATACAATTGCACAAATGTATTCCACTAAACCACTTTTTTTAGCGATCAATGTTATCAAATATAACTATCAAGTCTATTATTTTGGAACATATGAAACTTTTTCCATGCTCTCCACAGTTTCACAGCTGAATGGGAGAGCCATCTTACAATGACATGAATTCAAGTCAGTGTCATAGTGCTATGATGAATAAATGCATAGAATTTAGGAGGAAGTTTAGGCATATTATCCATATTATGTGGGCAACAAAGAATACTTAACAGAGGAAGAAGTGATATTATACAAAGGGATTAAGGTATAGAAAAAAATTCTTGTTAGAATAATGAAAATTGGGAAAAATGGCATATAATCTCATCATTAAACTGACAAAAGGGTCAATCACACTGAAACAGATAATGTGGTAAAAAGGGTAAGATACCATGTAGGAAAGAGACAGATTGGACATAATGTACATCTTCAACATATTGTTTTATTTCTACGTCAAGTCATAAGTCATTCATAAACTTTTTTTTTTCTAGTACAGAGACTTGAATTCAGGGCCTGGGTTCTGTCTCCTACCTTTTTCATTCAAGGTTGGTGTTCAACCACTTGAGCCATAGCTCCACTTCTGCCTTTTTGGTGGTTAATTTTAGATAAAGCTCATAGATCCTTGGACAAAGATCCTCAGACCTCAGCCTTCTCATTAGTAAGGTTACAGGCTTGAGGCACTTGCAACATCTCACAAAGTCTTTAAAAAGTGGCATTCATTACATCTTAAAGTGTAAAACCAGTAGATTTAAAATTTGGGAGTATTAGAATTTACATAGATTAATATTAGACTGGAGTATGTGTAGGAATAAAGCATGTTTTAAAGCTGGAAATATTTATACTGGAAATATTTTAGCGCTGCACAAATTGATGTTATCATTCCATATGACTTGTCACTTTGCAACATCTTTGTGGTGAATGGTAAAATTTCTTTTACAATTGACCAGCTAACAGCTCCTATTCCCTGGAACCTATCAAATGATGTACCTCCATAGTGTATATGCAGTTTGTCCTGGATAAGTATGGATTTTGAATGTGCAGGTATGCATATGTTAGATTTTTTTTTTTTGGGTCTGGTCATGGGCCTGAACTCTGGGCCTAGGCACTGTCCCTCAGCTCTTCACCTCAAGGCTAGCACTCTACCACTTGAACCACAGCGCCACTTATGGCTTTTTTTTCCTGCTTATGTGGTGCTGAGGAATCGAACCCAGGACCTCATGCATGCAAGGCAAGCGCTCTACCACTGAGCCACCTTCCCAGCCCCACATATGTTAGATTTTTCAAGAACAGAAAAAATGGCATCAGTAATGTGCCAGATAAAACAGATGAAATTATAGCTTAGTTCATGTTGCTCTAAGAACATGGACAATATTCATTCAGTAATATTTGCTATATTTGCGATTATTTTATCTGGTGCCTAAAACCACTAATATGCCCAAGCTAGTAAAGTTAGTTGGTTTATCAGAATGTATAGTGGAGAAATGTATGTACTAAGTGAACAATGGTAATTCACTCCTCCAAACCATAATCTTTACATTTCTGCTTCCTGTACAGCTAGGATTCTAGGCATGACAAAACACCACATAGCTGTTTTTTTAAATTAATTAACCAATTAAATTTTAATTGAACTTTCATACAGGGTCTTACTGATCCTTAACTTGAAGTTAATATTATTGTGTGTCAGCTTCACATAAAGGTGTAAATAAATATATAGAAGCAGACATAACAGCGAACCACTAGTTAATTTTCAAGAGTAAAAATTTGACAAATTTGTAAAGATTTGCCTTTACATTAGTTGGTAGTTAGGTATCACATGCACAAGGCAGGATCTCCACAATGAGCTATGCCCCCAGCACTGCTTTGCTTATAATTCTTAGGATAGAGTTATTTTTTGCCTTCAAACAGCTAGGTCACTGAAGGTCCTATATAGCTTGATGTGCACTGTCACATTAAGGGTAATGGCAGGTTTTGACCTTTTCTGCAGTAACAATTGTAAGCCAAGTGAAACTTCCGCATATCCCTTCCAGTCTCGAATTCTCTACACATTACCTCATGTTATATCTATATCTGTGGATCGACAAGTTGTTACAAGCATGAAAATAAGCATTTCTATGCCCAGAGTAAATTTTTAGGAGAGCTAAGGTTTTGCTTCTATATTATACACTTAAAGTTACAAGGTACTATAAATTATTTCATATTGACAGAAGCAGCCAATGGGTGAAGACTTTCCCTCACTGCTTTTTAGTATACAGTTACTCTGCATAGTAACTTTTTCCATGTCTTTCAGGAGCAATGTATTGAGCAACTGCATTTCCAAATTACATACATCCAAATGTATGCTTGGGATAATCATACATATACATATATGTATATATATATATGTGTGTGTGTGTGTGTGTGTGTGTGTGTGTGTGTGTGTGTGTGTGTGCGTGTGTATACATACAGTGTTGAGAATTTCAAGCAAAAAATATAATACAAGCATGATGATGTATGCCTGCAATGACAACATTCAGGAGGCTAAGATAGGAGGATCGTAAGATTAGAATAAGAAATGTTCATATCATTTTCTAAAACTAGAAAAAATACTATAGATTTTTAAAAATTAAACTGTACTTATGCAAAGTATAATGTAATGTATTTTTGTGCTTTAGATATTTTATTTTTGTCTATTTCAACTCCTTCAGGTAAAACACTACAAAATAGTCCTGAATCATACTCTTGCCAGTCATGGTGGCGCACACATCTGTAATGTAATCCCAACACTTGGGAGGCAGAGGAGGAATGTTCAAGAGTTCAAAATCAGCCTAGGCAACATGGTGAGTTTTCAGCCAACCTGGGCAAAGAGATTCTGTATGGTGGGGGTAAGGGAAGGAAAGAAGGAAGGAAAAATGAAAGGAATGAGTGAATGAGAAAAGGGAAAAGAAAGAAATAACATATACCTTTCTGTGGAACTTATTGATACATGTTCTTATTCTTCCTATCCTTTTAATCTTTATTATTGCTGTCAGAATTCCCCTCCCCCCCAAAAAAAAGCCTGTCTCAGTTGTGTTCTGGGATAACTTATCTGGAGAGCTGGAGAAAGACGGGGACATTACTGGCTGAAGTAAGACATTAATAGTCATTAGAGCTATCAAAACCTTGACTAGTACATTCAGCCTCCAGAACAGTGAGAAAATACATTCAGTTCCCATTATCTATAGTATGGATTCTATTACAGCAGCCTGAGAATACCAACAGAATGGTCTAAGAGTGAATTAATCACAACTGAATAATTATATGTAAGGAAGTAAACATAGAAGTCACTTCTGGTGTAGTCAACCTATACCAAAACTAGACCAGCAACAACAAAAAGCATCAGTGACCATTTCAAGTTCAACCACATTCATTTTCAACAATTTAAGTAACATCTGACATGTCATGGACACATAAAGTTCTATGAAAATAAAAACCTAAACACAATCCTACACAGTAACAAATTAATATAGCTTAGCTCAGTGCTTTGAATGGTCCAGGATTTAGTAGCACTTACCCATGAAGCAATTTCTCATACACTTACAAAACATAAGGGAATCAAGGGCAGCATGGAATGTGGAAAATCCTAATTGCCACTGTATTTAAAGGTTAAGTACTTTTAGTTATGCCAGGTTCCAGTAAACAAAAAATGTTGACAAAGAACAATCATCCATACAGTCTATATGATTTGCAGGAACTGGTCTAATTATTACAACTCCAACTGTCCCCATGTCAAATATAACAGAACAGATGCACTGCTATGTTGTCAGCTGCTTTAAAGACTCCATGATATTTAACCCTTCTATTTGTTTGTATTACCAGGTTTCAACGTTTACTATAAATTCTGCTATATAAAATGTTAAGTCCTAAACTGGGCACCACTGCGTTCACACTTTTAATCCTAGCTACTTAGGTTACAAGTCAGTCCAGGTAGGGAAGTCTTTGAGATACTTAAAGATCTGGAGTGGAGCTGTGGCTGCAATGGTATAGTGTTAGTCTTGATCAAAGAAACTCAAGTACAGTACCCAGGCTCTGATTTTTTTTTTTGCATCAGGACTGGTGTGCCAAAAAATTTGTAATTTATATCAAAACTGACATGACATCTATAAAAATTTACTTCATTCTCAATGCTTAATGAGCCCTCTGACCTGATAAAAGCATCCCCAAATGTGCTTCTCTCTGTGGTCTCTGATTGTTCTGATTGAACTGACATGGGGACAAAAGTTTGTAAGAAATGTTTCATTCCTATGCACATTTCTTTTTGTCAGTTGCTGGGCTTGAATTCAGGGCCTGAGCTTTGTCCCTAATCTCTTTTCAAGGCTAGTTCTCTACTACTTTGATTCACTCCTTCACTTCCAATTTTTGAGTGGGTAAAGTCTCACGAGGATTTTTCTATGTGGACTGGCTTTGAAACTAGACCCTTAGATCTCAGCCTCCTGAATAACTAGGATTACAGGTGTGAGCCACCAGCGCCTGGCCTGGGTACATTTTTTAACAGAGTGATAACTTTCCTCAGATCCTCCATATTCAAACACTGAACTGGTAACATACAGATCACACATACAAGTGTTTATTTCTCTGTAATATAAAGTACAAAGGGAGATTTGGGCTAGCAGTAAATAAATCTATGTTCTCATTTCCTTGGCTCATATAATGAGTCTTCTCCCAAAACACCTTGGTGATCATCTGATTCCATTCCCAAGAGCAGGATTTATTAGTTCTGAGGAAACATGGACTATTGCAAATGAAACAAATCCTCAACTTCACTCTCTTATGCAGACTATCAGATCATCTATCATTTGTTGTCAACCCTGAAATTATTAGCCATCATGTGTTGAAATCCTCTGGACAGTGTTCAGGTACAGTACCTCATTTAGAATGACATGCTGAGAAATGTGGGCTCAGTGTGTGTCCAAGAGAAAAGAATGGTTTTAGAAAACACACAGCTAATCACCGCCATGTAGAATTTTCCTATATAAATTCTGAAGTTTTCTGAGATGGGATTTAAGACAGAAGGTTTTCCTAAACAGGTTTTATTTCCTGTGTGAGTCCTGTGATGCTTGCTGAAGTTGGACTTCTGGTTTAAAGACTTCCTGCATCCTTTGATATTCACAGGGTTTCTACCTTATATCCAGTTTTCTGATGCCTGTTGAGGTGTAACTTCTGGCTAATGGTTCTCCTGTTTATTACTTTTATGTGGTATCTCTCCTGTGTGTTCTCTGATGCACACTGAGGTGTGAATTCTGCTTAAAAGACTTTGCACATTTGTTACATTCATAAGGTTTCTCTCCTGTGTGTGTTCGCTGATGCAAGTTAAGACTGGATAACCGGTTGAAAGACTGCACATTTGTTACATTCATAAGGTTTCTCTCCTGTGTGTGTTCGCTGATGCACACTGAGATATGACTTATAGTTGAAACACTTTCCACATTTATTACATTCATAAGGTTTTTCTCCTGTGTGTGTTCTCTGATGCACACTGAGGTATGACTTATTGTTGAAAGATTTTCCATATTTGCTACATTCATAAAGTTTCTCTCCTGTGTGTGTTCTCTGATGCACACTGAGGTGTGACTTGTGATTGAAAGACTTTCCACATATATTACATCCATAAGGTTTCTCTCCTGTGTGAATTCTCTGATGCATGTTGAGACTTGACTTTCGGTTGAAGGACTTTTCACATTTCTTACAGTCATAAGGTTTTTCTCCTGTGTGTGTTCTCTGATGCAAATTAAGATTTGACATCCGTTTGAAAGACTTTCCACATCTGCTACATTCATAAGGTTTTTCTCCTGTGTGTGTTCTCTGATGCACACTGAAGTGTGAACTCTGCTTGTAAGATTTTCCACATTTCTTACATTTGTAAGGTTTCTCTCCAGTGTGAGTTCTCTGATGCTTGCTGAGATCTGACTTCAGACTGAAAGATTTCCTACATTCATTACATTCATAGGGTTTCTCTTCTATGTGAGTTTTCTGATGTACAGTGACTTCTGATATGCAGCAAAAGGAAGTGCTATGTTTGTTATATTCATGTTTTTTCTCTCCTGTGTGTGTTTTAGATTGAAAATTGTGGTCTGACTTCTGACAGAAAGATTTTGTACATTTGTTATATTCACAGGGCTTTTCCTTGGGATATTTTCTCTGATGTGTCTTATGATTTACTTTCTTAGTGAGGGATTTCTCACATTTATTGCATACGTATGTGTTCTCTCCCGTGTACATTTTCTGATATTTAGCGAGTATAGAATTTATGTTGAATGTTTTCCCACATACAGTACATTCCAATGTTCTCCTCTTTACCTGAGCTATTTCTTGGACAATGAGAGAAGGCATGTCATAGGCTTCCTTATATTCTTTATACTTACAGGAGGACTCTCCCACATGTGCCTTCTTATGAATAAAAAATATGGTATCTGAGTTTAATACTTTCCCTTCTCCACCATATTCATAATTCTGCTGGTCAGCTGGACTCTGATGATGTTGACCAAAATGTATAGAATGTCTCAGAGCTTGTTCAACTACATGAGCGACAACAAGCTTCTCCCCAGCATGATACTCATCAGAATCACTATGGAGAAGTATGTTCTGATGCACAATAGACTCCTTAGTTCCCATCCCTAGGGAATTCCCATTATTCATAGCCAATTCTGACATATGGATTGAGCTCAAATTAAAAGTTCTTCTTAATCTAACGCTTTGCTCCACTGTGTCCCTATTGGTGACTACAACTTGACACAGATATCTCTCTGTGCTTTTTTGGCACATTTCAATCAGGTGATCCACTTGTGGGACATTTAAAATGATAAACAAAAAAAGAACAAGAAATATCAATGACACCTAAGCATTTTAAAATAATAGTCATGTAAAGGAAAAGACATTCCTTACCATCCTACTTGCTAAAGATTTTAAATAAGAACTATATGGTCTTTTGCATAATGAATTAACAAATACTGATATTTTACCATGTAAAATCATGTTTTTCTCCGCTTTTTTCTGTTTTAATATCAGAGGAAGTATGTAGTCCTAATACTTAACTATTGACTGCCTATAATTTTAAGTTGACTACATACTATCTGCCATTTGTTTTCCTAGGGTTGTTGTTTAATTTTGTTCTGTTTTGTGGGGAAGCTTTTTGAGTTGTTTTATTTTCTTATACTAATGGATATTTTGTGCCACTTTTGTTCTCAAACATTTGCTTGGAAGACAAAATATTTCCCAAGATCATATAGGTGTACAATAAGCCATTTGTCTGTCTCCTAAGTAGGAGTGGTTTCTGAGATTGAGCATTTATATCCACTTTTGTTCAGTTTTCACTTCTCACTGAGAATTACTATATGCACCTGTGGAGATTTTCAAGTTCCTTCTTCATCTTAGATACAGTGTCTTCCAAATTTCTATTCTGATACCCTGTCTCTCATAACTAGAGCAGACAAAGCATATACCAGCTCACTACCCTAAGTGACCATCCTCTCTTGAATAAAATTTGGTTCTGATCCCAGGTTGTGTCCTTTACCTTTGAAAAGCCTTTTTCTGGCTTATTTGAGGCTACTGGCCCAAGTGTCCTCCTCAGTTACTGGTACATTTATGCTCCTAGTTTTATAGGAAGAAAGGAGAGTCTCTTGTACTTTTATTTCTTTAGAATTTCCATGAAAAGGAAAGGGAAATACTAACTCTAACTCTACTACCATACAAAATTCAGAATGCCTCTACATGGCCTTCAGACCAAAAAGCTTCCATGTTCTCTGCCTCACCCAGGGCTGGAGAGATATGGGGACATTGCTTAGAAGAGCTCAGTACATCCCTGTCCAAGATGTGCTGACTTACCTGAGAAATTTTTGTCTGAGGCTCCTCCCATCCATGGCTCTGTACCTTGCTCCAGCTTGACAATCACTTCAGGTTTAGGAACACAGTGCCCTGATAATGGAAAATAATGTAGAACTTTTGCTTATGCTGGGTCCTCCTTGGAGTAATGATCTCTCAATCTGGTATAAAGAGCTGTTCTAGAACTTATGTTCTAGAACAGTGTGACTTTCTCTCTCAACCCAAGTCACATCTCCAATACTGATGTACAGCCCTTTCCAGATTGCATATTGACCTGCATATATGTCAAACTTGGAAAAGCATCACCATAAAATTAAGCTATCCTTAAGTAAATCATAATCTCTCTAAAATGTCCTCCCCTTATAATTTCACTTGTGTAACATCACATTTTTCTTCTCTGTCTCATCCATGCAAATATTCTTTGTGGATCATATCTCACTTCTCAAAGTTATGTAAGTTCTTTAAAAGAATACACTTGTCTGATTAATGGTATTATCTACACAGCCCCCAAAACATCAACACCTCTGAAGTATCCAACTAAAGACACTAAAAGAATAAGTGAACAATTAGGAAATGGCAGGTGGCAGGGAGTTCTTAAGAATGGGAAGAAAAGAGGCAAGTGAAATTATAGAAAAACTAAGGGAGAAAAATATCATAGTGAGATAATGACTTGAGTCTTAGGAAGTCTTAAAAAACAAAAATGGGGAGATGCATTTGTAATGGAGCCACCATGGAGACTGCATAATGCAGATGTGTGACGCATGAGAGCAGCTGCCCACAGGTGTGAAAGTTGGGAACACAGCTGAGGCCAGCTCAACACAGCCACACTGGCTCTGACCTTCCTAAGCTCCATACTCAGAAGTATTGACTCTCCTACAAACCTCTGGTCCCAGGGTTCTTCTCCCATCCAAGGCTCTGTCCTGTGCCCCAACTTAATAATCACCTTAAGTGTGGGAACACAGTGCTCTGTCCATGAGAATAGTTCAGAACTTGTGCCCAACTACTGTCTCAGCTCCTTGAAAAATGACAACAGGAGTTGTACAACCACTTTGAAGTTTTTCTTATTTCTCAGAGAAAGGTGACAATCCTCATGTAATGGAATCTTACATCTAAATAGCATTGAGTCTGATAAATATTTTTCTATCTAATAAAAACAAAGCACTTGCTCCTTTGAGTTAATGTGACTTCTGCTCACCCAAGAACACTAGGTTGCTGTAGGTCTCCATCATTACATCCTTATACAGGGTCCTCTGAGCACTGTCCAGGTCTTGCCACTCCTCCAAGCTGAAGTCCACAGCCACATCCTCAAATGACACCAACCCCTGGAACAACATATTTCAAACAAGTCATTAGGCCATAGTCATGAGAATACAAAGTCTGAGCTTTCATTCTTCTACATGTATGCCTGTGTCCTACATAAGATAGCATGAGCTTGCTTGGCTTTTTATACAGTGGGAGAAAAAAAAATCTAAGTGGAAATGTCTGGCTCTATGCTAACTTGTGAATTACTAAAACAAAGTTTTCCTTATAGATCAGCAAATGTCTTTGGTGCTAGCAATAGAGACATAAATTCTCCTTTAAGGAGCTAATAATCTGTGACAACATTAACTATAAGAATGTGCCTACAGGGATGGGAAGGTGGCTCAGTGGTAGAGCACTTGCCTTGCATGCATAAGGCCCTGGGTTCAATTCCTCAGCACCACATAAGCAAAAAGAAAAAAGCCAGAAGTGGCATTGTGGCTCAAGTGGTAGAGTGCTAGCCTTGCAGGCCCCACGACTGGACCCCCCGCCTCAAAAAAAAAAAAAAAAGAATGTGCCTACAATAGTGTGTTGAGCTTGTTTAGATACAAGTTTACTTGTAAATTAGGGTAACAAGGAAATAGAAAAAATTTTAACTGAATTTTCATGTTGTGCTTCACTAAAAAGCCTATTTACATCTTCTACATAACTGTTATCAGAAACAGCCAGAGCCAGAGTATTTTTTTTTTTTTGGTTGGTCGTGGGGCTTGAACTCTGGGCTTGGATGCTGTCCCTGTGCTCTTCAGCTCACGGTGAGCACTCTACCGCTTGAGCCACAGTGTCACTTCCAGTTTTCTAGTAGTTTATTGGAGGTAAGAGTCTCATGGACTTTCCTGCCTGGGCTGCTTTGAACCACAATCCTCAGATCTCAGCCTCCTGAGTAGCTAGGATTACAGGTGCGAGCCACCGGCACCCGGCTAAAAAATACACAAGGAATACATAATACATGAGCAGATCTACAGAAAGCAGTGTTCAGATGAGTGTGAAAAGGAGTAACATCCTGAAGAAACAGATTAGGCTTGTAAGACTTGACTGAATTCTAACAATATTAGTGAATCCCTAAATATTAAAGTATAGGCACCCTTATACTTCCTTCCCAATTACTAAAGAAATGCTAGCAAGTACTTTTATGAACATCACCTGCCTCCTACAATACAGAACATTGGTGAATGGAGAACAGGTCTGCAATTTCACAGTACCCCATGAAAAAGTAGAAGGGAAATGGGAAAAGGCTTAAGAGATAATCAGAGGAAAAGAAAGCAGTGTGAAATATAACCACTGATAGCAAGAGAAAGAAAAATAAGAATAAAGAACAGGGAAGTGTTAACCCAAGTGGGAAAGAATATGAAAGAAGTTGTAATGAAAATTGGTATTAATCTGTTTTGTAGAGGACAGAGGAAAGTTTTTTGAGCCCCACTTCAAATGAAGAATGTCTAACCACCTTTCCACCCCAGCTATACATGTTAATACTAGACATGAATATTGATTCTCCATCACACAAAAAGAAAATGTCCACAAACTGTTGAAGAAAGTTAACATTCACCATATGCTAGTGGCTCACCCAAGTAATGTACTCTACTCAGGAGGCTGAGTTCTGAGGATAATCATTTGAAACCAGTTTGGGCAGGAAAGGCTGTGAGACTTTTTTTTTGGTCAGTCATGGGGCTTGAACTCTTAGCCCTGGGTGCTGTACCTGAGCTCTTCATCTCAAGGCTAGTGCTCTACCACTTGAACCACAGAGCCAGTTTTCTTGTGGTTAATTGGAGATCAGAGTCTCATGGACTTTTGTGCCTAGGCTGGCTTTGAACTGTGATCCTCTGATCTCAGCCTCATGAGTAGCTAGGATTACAGGCATGAGCCACCAGTGCTCAGCATCTGTGAGACTCTTATCTCCAATTAACCACCAAGAAATGAGAACGAGAGCTGTGGTGCAAATGGTAGACTACTATCTTTGAGTAGAAAAGCTCAGAGACAGCACCCAGGCCCCGAGTTCAAGCCCCAGGATTTCCTGGGGCTTGCCCTTCACACAAATACATATTATTATTTAATTCACAGTCTTCTATCCAGAAAAAAGTATTCTAGAAATGTAGATTAAAGACATTTTCACATATTCATCAACAGCATACCTGCACTTCAAGATTGATACAGAAAATTATCCTGCTTCAAAAGAATGACGTAAGATGCTAACATAGTTGTACAGACAGGACCAGGATGATAGATAGGGTAAGTGTGTAGGTAAACATAAAGGATTACAGAAACAATTTTTTTTACATAATCTCTTAAAATGATGGTTTAAAGCAAAACCCACAACACTGTGTAAGTGATTCACATGCATAAAGACTCAGTATACAAATACATACACACATTACAAATCAAAACAAATGGACTAGGGATATAGATCAAATGGGAGAAAACTTGACAGACCAGTGTCAGCCTTTGAAATTAAATATCCAATATCACCAAAAATTTAAAAAAATATAAAAGACCAAGGTTATAAATAGCACTATTCAACTGAAAAGTATCTATTTTTTATGATGCAGTATGATATTACCCTAAGAATATTGTAAACTCCTAGAGCAACTATAAATAATGCAACAAAGTATGGCATATTAGTTGTCAATGGCTGCTATAACAAAGAATCCCACTGGCTGAAAATTCATTTTCTTATAGTTCTAGAAGTGGGAGAGCATAAGAAAATGTTGCTGAAAGTTTATCCTTTCCTGAAGCTCTGTATTTCACCCTGAGGATGGCTAAAATCCCTGTTTTCTTTCATATTTTTGGGTCCCACAGAATCAACCAACTGTGAATTCACAATATTAAAAAAAAGAAAGAACTCTATCCTGAACATGTACAGACTTACAAAATGATCGCCATCCTCTGGACACTGCAATAGAATAATAATTTACATAGCATTTAAATTGTACTAAGTATGAGAGGTAATTTAGAGGTGTTATGTTGGTTATATGCAAACACATACCATTTCACATGAGGAACTTGAGCACATACAGATTTTGGTATAAGTAAGGCTTTCTGGAGCCTTTCCTTGTGGATACTCTTAGATGACTATAGTAGAAATATCCACTTAGCCAAAAAAAGGATAGAAAATAGAAAGCAAGTACCAGATGGCACAAATAGAAAATTGGCAAAGATGCTAAGTAACATGCTTAAAAACAAAGTCTTCAAAGATATGTACCAAAACCTATGTATTAAAAAGGGATTACAATTGGAGAATATGCCTCTTAGTAACTAATTGAAAAAAAGACAAAAAAATATCAGAAGGAACACACACGGATGACATTATTTTGACCTAACTGCTATTTATTTATTTATTTTTATTTTTTGTGAACATACTATATAGAGAGGTTACAATTACATGGGCAAGATAATGAGTACATTTGTTATCAAGCATTGCAGCCTCCTCCTTTGTTTACCCTTCACATCCCTTCCCAGCCTCCCCCACCCCCACCAATCCTCCCCCACCCCCACCAAAGTTGTAAAGTTCGTTTTTGACATGACAACTTGTACTTCTCATTGTTGCAACAGGACCACCTGTATCCTTATTTAAACAACTTGTTTTTCCCCATCTCCTCCACAAATTATACCGACATCAAATATAGTGAAAGCAGGGGTTATACTGTGGGGGAGGGAC